AATAACAATGGTGAAATGAACAAATGCTGGTGGACAAACAAAACGAGCTAATGAGCGATCTTTTGTTTTCCGTCCACCAGCATGGCTGCGATGACGTAACGTGAAAAACACCAATTAGATTGTGGTGGTATCTTGAAGGACTACGATTTACACAAGGTTACCGCTCTGAGCGCCGATACGGAATGGATGCTCTGTCGGCTGAACTATTGGTTGTCAAAATTCGTGATGGAGGTAGCTAAAAAGTCCGGTGGAAGATACCCTCCCAAGACTGTTTATGGTAACATTTGTGCGCTCAAGCGTTAATTGGAGGAGAAAAATGGATTCGAAGCTTTGAATCCTCTGGACGCTAGTGACAAAAGGTAATTGACAACTTTTAGACCGCATTGTTCAGAATTTTAAAATGCATTGTTTTGGGAATTGAATTTGGTGTGTTGTTTTTCGAAGGTTTGTCCTGTTCCGACGTTGCTTAGATTCCGAGATGAAGGATGGCGTTCGAGAGGGGCTTCACATCAAGTGCAAGAAAGAGGAGAAGGCGTTTGTGAGCGAGCAAGAAGAAGCAACATTCTGGGAGAAGAAATTGCTGGGAATTACATCAGCTGAGTCGTTATTGAACACAATCTATTTCTACGACGGAAAAGTTGAAAGAATAATATGTTGCCCTATTGTTGTTGTAAGTAATGATTAAAGCGGCAAATATACTGTATTTAGTATTAAAATTCAAGTTTCTTGATCAGTGTCTTGATCAGTTTTTGAACTAATCGAATGTGTCTTGATCGGTATGTTCATTGGGTATCAAAATACATGCACCTGACTCAAATGATGCAAGCTGATTGGGTCATCAGTACATGAATAATTAATGAGTTTGAGAACACTATTTTCCTGTATTTTAACCCTATTTGACAAAAAAATTTAAATTTTCGCCCCTGTTTGAAATATATCTTAAGTGTAGTTTAATTATATTTCATCAAAAGGAAAACCTCTCTCATCAATTTACAATGTATTTTGTTTAATAAATATGATTAAAATAGGGTATTTAAAATGTATTTTGGGCAAAGAACCACTAACACTGTTACAAACAGAGTTCAAATAGACTATTAGCCTGCGCGCAGACGAAATTAAACTCTGGTTAACTCCGTCTGCGAAACAGCGCCGAAATCCTTGCTCTGGACTTCCAGCTGTGTACCCAGATTTGAGTACGCGCCACGATTGGCCAGTTAAAAAAGGCCTTTGTTTTGTTTGTCGTGATCGCCAATCAGGTTGAAGGGAAATTCGAAACGCACTTCCGGTAATTCGTTGAGTCCGTTGGGGGTTCAGAACAAGGATCTCTGCGCTGCTTCGCAGACGGTACTAATCAGAGCTTACTTATCGTCTGCACGCAGGCTAATAGACTATTTGAAATATGTTTTAAGGGCTTAAATGCGACTGTATTTTAAATACTTTTAAATAGGGTACTTTAACACTGTTTTGAGTTGTATCTAAAATGTATTTTGAGACGCCACTCACAAAGTTACAAACAGAGTTCAAATAGACTATTTGAAATGTGTTTTAAGACCTTAACTACTGACCGCATTTTAAATACTTTTAAATAGGGTACTTAAACACCGTTTTGAGGTCTATTTGAATTGTATTTTGGGCACACAACACTCTGACTATAAAAACAGATTATACATAAACTATTTAAAGTCTGCTTGAAGACATCAAATGCTAACCTTATTTTAAATACTTTAAAATAGGATACTTAGTACTTATTATTATGAGGTGCAATATTGTAATGTATTTTGGCAAACGTATACTCAGACTATAAAAGTAACAATTGCACAAAATTAATTTTTAAGCCTTCATCGTGTCACGAACTCATAAATGACTCAAAACAAGCTGTCACATATTGTGGACCGGATTCGAAGCTGAGCGAAAAATTAATTCTCCCAACAAATCAAAAAGAAGTTGAAAAAAAGAGAAGAAAATTAGGAATAGATTTCAGCTTTGACTGACAACACGTAACTGTGACAGTGTGCCGATAAAAGATCAATCCGTTCCTCATTGTTCATTACCTGCAAGCTCTCTGCGAAAATCTCCGCCGAGATTTTAGCCGTGATTCAATTAATGCAGTTACGGGACATTCCATAAGTTTTTTTAAAAGAAACTTCTTAAAATCGCATTTTAATTTCATATAGAAATTTTTCACAAACAGCCAAAGCCGCGGGCCGAGAACCAGATGCACGCGGTCAACAGCAGTTTTTCTAAAATAAGCCCTTGAAATTACATAATAAACAAACTATCCAAGCTAAGATCTCACCTCGTATATACTGCACCAAGAAACAACGCTCAGATCTGAATAAACTCCGACATATGGTTATCTTTCTCTCATAGATTATTCCGCACATGCACTGCATATTATTTCTGAGATGTCACGCACGACTGAAATCACGACTTTGCGCAGCGGTGATGTGACAAATGCACGTGGTAAACAAACCGTCCTTTGCCCTTTGCTCATTTCAAATTAGGGAGTTTAAGCAAATCGCTACGGCGACCTCTACTACGGCGGCCGGAAGTAAAAAAGCCCCGAAATGACGCAGTGCGCATGCTTGGAAATGACCTTTCGCCGTAGCGCCAAATCCTACGACGTGAAGAGCTGTCTTCTGGCGCAGTCGCTACTACGTGAGTATAAAAGTCGACTCTTCTCCTATTTTTTACGATCACTGGTTTTAAGAGCTATCATAGATTGTTTTTTACTTTATCAAGAAAGTATTCGAGGCTTCTGGTTTTCCAGTGAATACGTTTTCCTTGCGTTTTCTCACTTTGAGATTTCGATCCTCAAGCGAGTGTGCCATGAGTTCTGCCGCGCCATGGCCGCAGAAAATCCGCCAGTACAAACAAAAGGCTAGACGAAAACCTTAAGCACGACTGTTAGCAATAAAGCTAAGGGTCACTGAAGGTTGTTTAAACAAGAACAGAATAGAATATCTAAAACGCTGAATTTGTTGATTTGTTGTTAAATGCGGTACACAAGAAGAAACATCACTAGCAGCTTACTCCGATCTGTAGTTTTCTGTTTTGTGCACGAATCACCCTCTGATGATGTTTACTATCAATATTCTTCTTGGCAAACGAAATTTTTAAATTGGCCGTTTTCTTACTTGACCACCATTGAATTCTGTTGTTGATAAATTATAGCAAAAGCAAGTGACGAGACGTACTCTCCCCAGGACACCGCATCCACGACTGCCGTAGTAGAGGTCACCGTAGCGATTTGCTTAAACTCCCTATTATTGAACCGGCGGTTGCTGTGAGCTTAAATGCGCTTGATTTTAGTGTTTGTTGCGATCTTAAAAAAGTACACTTCAACTCTGCGGATTGTCTGAACACGTAGATGTTGCTTTTATCACGAATCAAAAATAGGTATGACTCCTCAGCGACTGCTATGTACTTTGAAAGGTTCTGGTTCACTGAGGCGGTGCACGCGGTCTTCCAAGAGTCTTGTGAGTATTATATACTATATGCATAACATGTTACTAAGATGCTTAAATATACGCTATACGAAAAACAAATGAAGGGTAGTAAACATTTATAGACTCCCGCCCGTACGGCAATTTAGTTTTTACAGGATTCCTAGCTCAGCCTCGCTGTTTCAGTCACTTGATGTCACGTCACCGGCCCCTTTCATTCTCGCGTAAATTTGATGGTGTTATTCTTATATTGTTCTTTATCAGCCAATAATTAATTTTCAGGCGTATCCTGCAAGCTTCTGATGATATTTGAGTAAAGCCGTGAATATAATAAACAATGTAAGTTACATGTATGTAGATTATTATTTACCGGTAACGTCAGTAAGGCTTTACCCTTTTGAAGCAGAAGATTGATAGCCTGTGTACAGAACTCTCCTCCCCTCCGATTTTTATGGAGGGGAGGGGGTCTGTACACAGGCTAAAGATTGATTTGAACGTTTCTGAAAAATTCCATAAGAATTTCCCGAGAATTCTTAGGGAAATCAACGTAAAGTAATCGGCTAATGGATAATTCTCGTGAAATCCTAGCCTAGGACTGTGTGGAGAAATTTCGCCGAGGTAAATCTTGCTTTTTCAGGGTAATTTTCGACGGTTTTGTATTCATTTTGTTTCACGAATTTAAATGGTATTTCCATCCTGTTCTTGTACTGTTTTTATGCTCTTTCGACCGATTTGTGTACTGTTTTCAGAGAACTCTAAGGCTATTTTCTTACAATTTTATACTGTTTTTGCATTTTTGCATCCTATTTTTGATGTATTTTCATAAAATATGAGTGTTATTGCTTTCCCTCTTCTGTGGTATTTTAATACTGTTTTCAAAGTATTTTCATTGTATTTGCAAATACGAGTATTTTACTAAATTTCGAAACCGATTAAACAGCTATTAAAATATATTTTGAAGCATAACATTTTAATAGCGTTTTAAACAGGTTAAAACACCTTTAATTTGTACCTATTTTAAACCTGTTTTTTTTTTTCAAAATACGTTCAAAATTGCCATTAAAAATAGTTTTAAAATAGTATAGCAATTTAAAATATGTTTTTGAAACTGTTTTTATCCTGTTTTTATTCCGATTTATAAGGTATTTAAAAACCGCTTTAGACCTGTTTTGAGCCTTGCAAAAGCCCTAGAACTTTTTATATATTTTAAAAGAATCTTAAAATACTTTAAAAATTCTTTTTTAATAGCGTTTCAGACAGGTTAAAAGACCTTTAAAGGCAGTCGAAAAATACATTAAAAATACACTTTTCACTCTATTTAAAACCTATTTCACAAAAAAGGTTAAAAACAGTTTTCAAAAATAGCTTAAAAATACATTTAAAACAGTGTCGGATTTGGTAAGGGAAATGAGTATTCAATGCTTCAGATTATAAAAAAAAAAAATGTTGATTATACTCTCTGTATTGAAATCTTAATTGTTGATTATCAACTGTGGCATAAATCAAGAATTTCAATTGATAAATCAACTTCACAAGGAATGTCGAATTTATATACTACCATAGAGTAATAGACAATTTTAGGAAAACTGCGGCAGATCTACTATATCAACTTCATTTGTTAGTCGATATCCTCCAAGATTGGACCGAGCCAGAGTTATGCACAAAATTTAACAGAAAATTACGTCGTCGCTTATAATATATATGGCACGGTATCTGATATAGATGCGGATAAAGTTTATGATTTTCATACAGCCTATGAAATTGAACCTACAAAAGAGAAAATGCACCTTCAGACATGAATGGCAAAAGAATTGTTTACTCCCCTTCCGTAAAAATGTCGATGCTTGCTATTTCGGGCAAGTATGACAAGAATTATGACGGTAAATACGTATATTTTGAAAGGACGAGCGTTATAATAGCCCCTGTCAAATGTAAAATGTCAAAATGTTATTTTCACGATCCAGTAAGTGTGTAGCCTGCGAACAGCAGACGCGTTTGCGGTCGTCGCTTCTCTCCCTCCGAAAAATAGCGTCTGCGAACCCGAGCGGCAAAACGATTTCCGTGACGTAAAACCTTTTTAGCCAATTACGGTTTAGCTCTTAATTTGCCAGGATTTTGGGATTGGTTGATGAAATAAGCATCAGGAGGATTCATATTGAAGAAAAGATTAGGGAACTTATTTTATCTATTTTCCCAAGGAGTGAATGATCTATCACACTTGGTTGTTTTTGATCATGTTCGAAACGATGTCGTAATGACAGTAGACGCATCATACCGTTTGCTGCTTCTGTTCCTTTCTTGTTCCTCGCAGGATAGTATGCTTTGGAGAACTCTTCGATAGTTTTTCGTGTTCCGCTTTAGATATTTTTTTAGTAGATATCCTTTTATCTTTGAAAGCTAGGACGTGTGGTAGTTGATTTCCCATGCGTGGTTGCTTCTTGGTTCCAACAGAACTTTGATCAGATCGAAAGCATTTTATATTTGTTCTTATATTTCTTTAAATTCATGTTCTTTTCAAGGTTTTGATTTCCACAGTGTTTTGTAAGATGAGTCGAAGCGTCGTAACTGATATGTCATCTAGACTGTGATCAATTTACTGCTGTAACTATTTATTTCACGCTCGGTCTGGCCCAGGTTTATAATATTTCAGATCATTGTGTTTTGGCGATACTAGAATTATTAACGAGCGATTGTCAGAGATTTCTGAATCAGTCAAGGATGTGTCTGTATCATTGATTCACCACCTTAAATGTCAGTGCTGGTTAAAATGAAATTAATGGACCAGTCATAATTTAAGTTGGAGGGGGGACTGGAGGAGAAATTGGGGGGCCTTCAATTTTTTTTTTTGATGGAATATGGGGGGCTTAAAATGCCAAAAGATGACCTTTTTCGGGGGGGTCTTCAAGTTTCTTTTAAGTAGCATCCCTACTGACCAGCATGATGTTGATTTTGATTCAGTTTTACACAAAGTCCTATATTGTGTAATACTAAAACAATTTCATCAGCATTTTTACAAAAAGATTTAATGCTCAAATAGTAGCAAATAGCGCCATTGGAGATTCTATTGTCAATGGAGAAACCCTTGAGTGGGAGAAAACCAAGTGCTTTCAAGGAATGACTGAGGATGAAGTGAAATCGATGTTAGTGAAAGACTTCCAGAAATACGAGAAAAAAAGAATGGAAAACAATGCATGGGATGTTGCAAAGGAAGTTAAAGAAAGAATTCTCGATGCTCATGTTTTGAAAGAATACATCACTGCATTCCTAACTATGAAGCCAGAAGATCAGTTCTTCTTTGATGAAGACAATATTTTGGAATTTAATAAAGCAAAGAGTGACACTTCGCGAGAACAAATTCCAGGTAGCGGATATATGAACAAAATATCCACATTCATTGAATCACATTACAATGTGGGTGAGCTCTATATTGATTTTCTCAAGAGGGCATGCAGTGAACATTCAGATGGTCGTCTTTGCGACTTCTATGAAAGCCATCCATGGGTAGGACCAGAGAGTGAGCGAATACCTAAACCCATACCTGACCCCAAGAACCCTCCACACTATAAGAGCGTGTTTTGTACGCCAGTGAGAAATGATAATGGTAGCCGCAGAGATCCTGAAGACTGGCAGCCAAGGGCGCACTTTAAACGTTTATTTAATTCATCATCAATAACCCTCAATGATACAGATGTCATTAAAGAATATGCAACAAAGTTCGCTGTTGATGAAAGATACGTGCCTTCATATTTGGAGCACCTGACAAGACTGAGACTCAAAGAATCCATCAGGTCAACTCAAAGACAAATCGACAAAAGCAAACGAGACCTAAAAACATACAATGAGTATGACTGGCTAGACATGTCTCTAGAAGGAACATTGCAACAACTAACTGTCAAAGAAGTTGAGAAATATCTAACTGCTCGTGGACTTGGCAAGTATGGTAAAAAAGAGTGACAAAAATAAAACCATCAGCTGCCATGTACTGCGAAATAATGAGCTTAACTCTATAAAAGAGAAACAGTTGGAATTGGCAGACTCCATGTACTATGCTGACCAGCAAGATGACGAATCACTCTCAGATGACGATTATGTAGTTGGCACATTCAGAAGTGACAGTGAGTAAGAAAGGTAAAGTAAAGAAAATATTATTTGTTAGTACCATTTGGGTATTATGTAAGAAAGGGGGGCCCTTAAATCTTTTAACATGATTGAAGGGGGGTACCTAAAAAACATGGGTACTATTGAGTAGGGGTCTGGAAATAATGTGGGATAAAAAAACAATTTCTCCTCCCCCCCCCACCTCCAACTTAAATTATGACTGGTCCCTAAATTAAGTCTGAGCACGATGTCATTAAGCTACATTACTTTCCTTTCATTGCAGCGATTAATTTGTCTAGGTTTTGTTTTGTCACGTACTACCGTATTTTGTAAAGCAAAACCAAAGGCCCACATCACATACATAGCTTAAGAAGCAGTTGCTTCATAAAGAAGTCAGCATTCAACGTCGCAGGAAAACTTGTTATGGTCCTGAAATTCACGTTCCAAAGCGTATTTGGTAACTCTCGCCGAAATCCAAGACAATTCAGCGCGCGAGGTCGCGAGGATTCACTCGAGCTGTATTCTATCCTTTGATCTGATTGGCCAACATCAAAACAAAAGGTTTTATGTCACGGAAATCATTTTGCCGCTCAGGTTCGCAGACGCTATTTTTCGGAGGGAGAGAAGCGACGACCGTAAATGCGTCTGCTGTTAGCAGGCTAGTAGGTGTGGGGCTTAAGAATAATCTGTATTTGTTTGTAGATAGCCTAGGTCCTCAAACTCAACACTCAAGATATTACTCTTATGCAGGAAAAAAGAATCAATGTCAGGTTTATAACACGCAACAAGTTTTCTCTGCTGGAGATGTAAGAAGAATATAGCTTAGAAACGACAACCCAAACCTCCCGGTCCCAACAAAAGACGTCGATTTGTCTGTTTTATTTGAGTCTACTTGTATATGAAAGAAAAAAAGGATATATTCAATTTTAACCACAGATAAATGAAATAAAAGATTTGTACAAATATTGTCATTACAATTATTGGTGCTACCAAAAGGCGTATAAATATTTTAAACAACTAAATTTTGTGGTCAATATGTTATCAACAGGTTTGATCGTACTTGGAACAGTTGTTGGTGGAGTTACTTTAACCCCTGCTATACTAGGAGCTATAGCAGGAGCTGGATTATTGGTTAAAACATTATCAGAAACCAAAGATTACAAACGTAAAATAGAAATGAGTACATATGCTTTTACAACATAACAAAAAGAATCACTTGATCTCCGTACAGCTTTGTGAAGAGGTCAATTTGATAAAAACGAATTTATAGGAGAGATGAATCTCATTGACGACACAATAGTTGATTTTGCTCCTCTGATCACGCGATTTAAAAAACAATAGAATAGGACATTTTTAACCGCATAATATTCTTTCAATATCATCACCAAAAAGCATTATCAACTCATCCCAACACTGTTTATATTTATTTAATGTCTTTTTTAGTCCTAGCTGGACTAAATTAGCAAGCTTCATTACTTGTGAAATTAAGTATTTAGTATCTATCATCCTTTTTCTTTTGTCATTCAATTGAGCAATAAAAGGTTCAATTGTTTGAAAAACATTTAATATCTTTGTCGTAACTCATATGGTATATCAATACCGCACACATAAAGAAGATCATTTATTGTGTTTTCAGTATGACACTTTCGATGGTAAATAGACGTCTTCCTTATTCTCTATCTATTTTCATAAAAATCAACATATTCATTTCCCACTCTAGTTCCATCACTAGTTGCACAATTTTTGCAAAGAATATGTCTATCACCAATGAAAATAAGATTTTCACAACAATCATATAATACTCTCCTTACTTCATCAATAGTTTTCCAGACTTAAAGTTTATCAACAGATTAACATTATTTGGTCTTTGCAGAGTTTCTAGCAAACGTTTAACTGATGTCTTCATCCTCCACAAAATGTCACCATTGCTTAGCCGGTCAGAGGACCACCCATTTAACCCGTGAGAGTTCTATCAGGACATGTGTAGTTCATAACAACGTTGACCTCTGGCTCTCTGCGTTCACAAGTAGATTACGAAATTATTAAAGGTAAAGTCAGTAACATTAAATAACACTGTTGAAAATATTGAAGAAGCAATGATGAATTTTGAAAATATCACTTTCAAATATAACAGCCAAAAAATATTATAACTGGCATTGTCTCAGTAAAAGACCATGCATAATTATTAATTTTTCAACTTCGGATAATGCATTTCTAGCAATCTGATTGGTTCACTCAGTCTCGGTTATCAGCTCATACACCTTAGTTTGACCATATATGAAAATCGATTACACCAAGGAAACAAAATTTTTCTTGGACAAAGTGGCTGGAAAAAGTACAAGATTTCGCAAGGTTTCTACCGACGAAATACAAAAGCTGCTAGAAAATGCCATACCGGCAGCGACCAAAAAAAAGCCACAACTTTCTCCCAAGGTTCCTTACAAATTTCAAAGAAATTATAATTCCTCAAACGTCGACCTGATTATGTAAAATCAACAACAACAACAAAGTTTACCTTTAAAGTTTTCATAATGGCTTGTAAGTCCTTGCAGGAGTAAGTTTTGAAGACTATTAGAAACTTGTTTGCGTTTTTGAACAGCTTTTACACCTCTTACAGATTCGCAAGCCCATAACGGGCCACAAGTGAATCCTACAACGAACGGCTTTCCATTGAACAACATCATTACGGGAGATGTCCTCGCTCTCATGATCAGTGATTTTATTGATGAAAGAAGCTGGGTCTGCAGCTCCAATTCAGTGGAGAAAGGAAACGGCGAAAATGACGTGCAATCAGGTCGACATATCCATTGTCAAATTCCACAGCAGTCACAGTAAGGAAGTGCGAAAACAGTTGCTGTCTAGGATAATTTTAACACAGCATCCTTGTCACATAGCGATCAAGGCTTTCCGCAGTATTCTTACAATTGCAATGTGCAGGTGCACGATTATTACACCTCTCCTTGACTTTAACTTGATGTCTTAATTCTTGACGAAGATTTTAACCCGAAAATTTGTTCAACGTTCCTTTTTAAAGAGAGAAATTTTCCGTTTGGTTGCTCGATTTGTTTCTGTTTCAGATTTTTCATCCACCTAAGTTCGCAAACGGCCCACATGTCACGTGAGTTTCCCTTGGTTTACCCGAAGTCACATCCGCAATATCCAGTCGTTTTGTAATATTTAAAATGAAATTTAGTACATTCAGTTGCAATAAGCAGACGTTTGGAGTTTTTTAAAAAAATGATAAAACAAATCCTCTATTCGCGTTTGTTGGATATGAGATGGTTACAGCCAACTCGGCGAAACGCGTCGGTTGGCTATTTACCATTTCATATCCAATGCGCGCTCAAGGAATAATTGTTAAATATACGTATTTCGTAGAAACACTTATCTATAACTCACTTTTACAAGGCAGATAACAATTAAATTATTACAAGAAAATTATTGTCATGATAGAAAACTGTGGAAGATATTACAGCAATAAGGAATCCTACAAATCTATCAAATATAACAGCTGAAAAAATGTCATAACTGACATTTTCTCAGCAAATTAATGGCTAACTCGAACTTGAACGTTCAAGACTGATCGTTAAAAACACCTACATATAATCGACGTTCTGTTTAAATATGTTACAAGTTACATTAGTGATGCTTTGTTTTAATAGCCGTTGAAAAGCCCTCCTTATAATGATCAACTTTCTGTTTACTTTAGAATTTTCTGAAATAAAATGTAACGAAACAGAAGCCCCTTCCAACCAAATCAAAGGTAAAGCTGCTTGGAGGAAGATGTGGTCTAAGTTTTTCTTCTATTTGGTGCAAGATGTTAGATTAGTGTTTCTTGAATTTTAATAATTGTTAAGCTACATTAGTGTAGTTGAGTTTTTAATACCCTTTGAAAATCTCTCTCTGTAATCAACATTCTGTTTATTGTATAATTGCGCTTTCATTTGAAACAAAGTGTAATGGAACAGAAACCCTTTCCAACTAAATCAAACATACAGCCGCCCCAACAACGTACCGCGCTTTTTTCCCATCTTGATTTGGAGGAAGTTGTGGTCTTACTTTTCCTGTTATTTCGTACAACGTGGTAGATGAGTGTTGAATTTTAATAATTTTTCAAAACCTCTCCTTATATTCAATTTTCCGTTTACTTAAAAAATGTGCTACAATCTGACAGACAAAGACATACAACAGAACTCCCCTCCCACCAAATCAAGCATAAAACTTTACCCGAACACCAAAACGCTCCTTTTTTCCCATCCTTGATTTGGAGGGAAGGGTGGTCTTAATTTTGGAGCCTGAACTTGGAACTACAATTTTCCTTTTATTTCGTACAGTATCGAACATTACTTTTGTTGAGTTGTTCATAGTCTTTCAAAACTATTCATGTTAAAAGTTACGTAAGAGTTTTTTTCCAAAAGTAAATTGCTGAAAACCTCCCCTTACAATCGACATTCTGTTTACCTTATATGATAATGGAGCACACCCTCCCGATCTCCCAAAATTAAGGATAAGTCCAAGCAAACATTAAAATACCCCATTTTCCCATCCTTGATTTTGCGGTGGACTTGATATTGATTCCTTTCCTTCTAGTTTGGGCGAGGACTACAGATTAGAAACAAAGACGTTCATTTCATACTGCTTTTGACTTTTTCGTTGTCCTAAAAAAATCTAAATTCATTTTGTTAAGTTTTACATAATCGTTAAAAACCCATTCAAATAAAGATGATATTAATAATACGATTAAAATCCTTTTTTCGTCGCCTCTTTAAAGATTTGGTGCAGTTACACACACCATGGTAAAAGGCATTTCCCACGTTAACGAAGCCGTGGTAAATTTTAAAGTGGATTTACTTTAATAATTTAGCTAAGGTACATACAGCTGTAGCATTTTTTAACGCTTCACCTTGGATTCCATTTTCCAGTTCAGCCGCATCTCGCTGTTCAATTACATGCAAG